TATTTTGGTGCCGTCTACCCCCGTGCTATCCTTTCTCTTTATCGCCTTTCTTCCAGTTGATTTGCTGTTGATTTTTTTTCTTTGGAGCTAAGCATGTATCTTGGGTCATTTCTATATCTGCATGCGTTTTCCAGTCCTCAGACACTTCTTACGGGTATGAACAAGTTTCTCCAGTCCTTGGAAATCACCTTCCGGCGCGACCCGACTAACTTCCGGCCTCGAATCAACAAGATGAATTCTGTAAAGGTAAAGTAGTGACACCAAGTTCTTAATAGGAGTCACGCTGCGATATTTAAGTCATTTCAGTTGAAGCGTTAGAGGACAGAGAAATTAAATATAGTCGTTTACCAGGGTTTTAAAGGTACAACGGACTGTGCAAGACCAGTTGATAATTATTCTCGGTTTATACAATTTACACAGTCCTTCATTTCAACAGTTTAGAGTTAATTGTGCCCGTCTGTTTGAAATGGCCTAAGAATGAAGGAAAAATGATGTCTAAGTCCTTGAGATATACAATATAATTTGTTGTGCCCATTTCACATAACAGAAATTGAGCTGACGAGACTGCAATCTTCTGTCATTTACAGGACACTGAGCAGAAAAAGACAGGCAACTATTTTTACCTTGAGGATTAAAGTAACCTGTTAAGGTAGCAACAGCAAGTATACTAATATAAAAACGCTTCAAGTAACCGCTGATGGAACAGAGAAGGAGCAAACTTGAAATGGCGCAGAAGATGGATGGCATACGCTCTGAATATTTCTTGTGAGGAGAAACTTATTTTTACGAACGAATCATACATTTTATTGCGCTTACAGATGAATCAATATGGTTAATATCATGACCCGAACTTTGACTATGTAGTGATATTCTTAGCACAAATAAAGTGTTCATCGAAGCCACTGTTCAGAGCTGAATAGTTGATCACTGAATCTATCTGATCCGGCCTTGATTAAATCTTGTTAGAGACTGACGAAAACTGTTTGCAGTTTGTGTTCTGGCAAATCCGAAGTTTCTCATTTGGCAAATGCTACAATGTCTCGCACTCCTTTTAAAATGCATATCGACAAACCTTGTCACACTGAAGAAGTTCACCTATACATTGCACCTTTAAGAGACTTCTGGTTCAATGTTTTAAGTTTTCCGTTCACTGCAATCAATTGTTTCACGCAAGCGTTTGTGGTTTACTATGCCTTTCGCACACTGAGAAGTATCACTTCGGTTTTCCCCAGGTTGTCAGTACGCGATATTCTGCCCGTTATACTGTCCAGCGTCGTATTTCTTGAGCCGGTGCGATCGTTTTTGCAGCACTTCTTGCTGAACAACACTTTCACTGCCTGTCTGAATCCTGGACAACGAAAGGAGTACATTATGGGATTAGCCATGGATCCCAACATCGCTAACAAAATATAGATTGCTTCGGAAAGAACAAAACGTTTGCTGCATCGAACGCTTTTGGCAGAAAGGATTCCAAAAGATGGCGACCAACTTATGACAAAAACTATTGTCGCGGCTATGAAAATTTTGGTCAATTTCCAACGAGATCTCAAAAGGGCTTTGTTCGTTGGTTTATTAGCTTCGTCGCTAAACCAGATATGTTTTACTATCCTAGAGTAGCAAGAAAACATGATAATGCCAGGAATTGTTATCGAGATCACCAGAAGAACAGCCAAATAACCCATGGTGGCAGCCTCGTTTAAATTTGGATTTGTGCAAAATTCCAGCCTGACATAACCGTTTCCCAATAGATGGTAACTTGGGGCAGAAACGATTGCAGTGAAGGCCGAATTTATCACAAGGAGTTTTCCCACACGAGACTTCGTAACGTTAGCTTTGTAGTAGAACGGCTTTAAAATTGCAAGGTATCTTTCGATCGAAAGCAAGGTCAAAACGAGAATCGACTGCAAAGTATGAAACATATATGTTCCATACAGACGGCCATCGAAACCAGTTGCCAATAAGTAGATGTTGGTTTCTGCAATACATCCAAAACTTAGGTCGCTCAAAGCGAGCCAAGATAGCAGATAAGTGTTTGGACATTGCATCTTTTTGTTCATTTTAACAACTGCAACGACAAGTGCATTTCCAATTACGTTGCAAATGAAGATTGGCAGCGAAACAATTCCTGCCAAAAGACGAACTTCTTCGTACATTTCAGACAACCACAAGCTCGGGAAGACTTCTTGTTTTTTGACTTCTTCCGCTCTTTTTCAGTGTAGATCAGAAGTACAAAATCACAAATGTACTTCTATACATCGAGCAAATAAAATAATTTGCAGTTGAGATTAATTTGAAAGGTCATTTCATTCCGTAAAGACATTTTTGACAATCAGTCCACACGTCAAATTAAACTCACAGCTCTTATTTTGTCATTTCTCATAATGGACTCTTTTTAAGACAATGCATGCTCTATTCAAACAGAGCACTAAGCCATCAACGGAACTAGAGAAAGAGGTGAGGCGATAGCAAGAGCTGCCTTTTTGAATATCATCAGTCTTTCGTGATCAGACTTTAGTTTCAAGACCAGATGGAACTAAGTTAAACTTAGGTTGCATTTATAAATTAGAGGAATCGCTATTTATCGCACTAGATTTATTCATTGGATGTTCCTAGCGCTAACAGTGGATGCCAATTTGAATAAAGAAAAAAAAAGCAAACAAATAAGTTATATCTTATTAATAAGAGTTCGCAGCTCTATGAGGTTTTGGAGATTTCGATTGATGTGATCGTTTGTTTTTTTAGATGCCATTTATTCTGTCTGTCTGTCTCTCTATAGGGATAAACATTTTACAGCCTCCAAAGAAAATGAAGTGACTCTTTCTCTCTTCAGTCTACGTTTTGGCTTGATTTGTGCTTTCCCGCTATGTTACAGAGAGGTTAACCCACAAAGCACCATTTGAAATTTATTGTTAAAACTGAAAATATATGTGGTTATGATACATGTACCTTTTATGTTACTTATACTCTACGCAGAAAAGAAAAAAACTTAATCAGGGTAGGCAAGATTTCTTTGAGCTTGCGTAATTCATGTCAGTTTTGTGTGTTTCAATAACGAGTTTGTGACGCTCCTGTAACAATGAATTAATAACAGAAAATTCAATTAAAAAACTTAAAAGAATTGTCTTCGTTTGGAACATAGTTAATCGAGGGAAGTGAAAACTGTTTGAACAATTGATCTGAAATTCGTTGCACTCAGCGTACTTTTACACGTTTTTCAATGAAAAAACGAAACATTTTCTGAAGATAGTCAAAATTTAAAAACATCAGCTCGTTGCGTCCTTTAATTAAGATTTGTTTGTGAAAATGCAAGCGATTTCTCGCCGGCGTTAAGAATAAAGACCGCAGATAGAGGAATGAGATGGTAATACTGAAGTTTGCATGTTTGGAACAAGGTTAAATTATTAAATCAAGCCTGTCGAAGTTCGTTGATAAAGGGACAAATGGGAAACAAACGTTCGATTTTAATAGATCAACTGTTCTACTTTATTCCCTTACATTGGAGAGCACTTAATTTTTTAGGAGTGCAAACATAATCTTGCTTCTTCCGTGAACAGGAAATTGAACATTGAAGTTTCAGTGGAAATCCTGAGAGAAAATATTTGTGGGATTATCATGATAGAAAATCCTATTGAAAACGGTTTCTTCTTTGGTTTGTCGAGAGATAATTGGTTGTTAAAATGTGATGTGCGAGGTTGCTGCTAAGTTGGCTCATCCTTCGTAAAGAGTGTTAATATTACAAGAGGTCAGCATCTAATACCCTTTTTCCGAATTCTTTGCTAAACTCGAAGATGCTTTGCCGACGGGAGAGGAAAAAAAAAAGAAGAGATCCTCTGGTCAATTTAAGATGATATTCAGTTAGATCTAAATTATTTTACGATTGGCTGTCTCTCGCAACAATTTTTGATGAGTCAGCCCCCTGAATTTTTTATACCCTCAATTTGCAGATTCCTTAATTTTCGTTGATTGCGAACAGAATAATTTATTCGCGTTCACAGTAAAGAGAAACATAAATTGTATGGTCATCTAAGGCCCCGTACACACGTATCCGGATATTTTTGAATCCCCAAATTTTTAGTTTCCGCATACTGCTATCGTCCACACGTATCCGGCGAATTCGCAAGCCAATCCGGATATTTTTTTCATCCGCTCTCCAGAGTGAAAATTTTTTAATCCGACATCATTTTGGATACGTGTGGACGGTCGAATCCGGATATTTTCTGAAACGATGACCTCACAAAATTGACGCCAGTGTTTACCGCGGAAAGTTAAATATGACCGTCGATCAAAGGCAAATAGTGATTTACGAAGCAATCTAAAATATTGCCATATTTACTCTGGTACGACTCCCAGGCATTGTTCTCCATAGATTTTGCGGCTTTGTACTATACTGTCACGTTCAATAACAACTCTACCTCGTCGTCGCTCCATATGAATGATTCTGGCTTGTTCCCCTCATTCTTCTTAGCTTTTTTGCCTGATTTCGACATGTTTTTAACTGTTTGAACAGGTGCACGTAAACTGAAACATCGAATTCCCGCGGCTGCTAAATGCCGCAGCGCATGCTCCGTAACCAATATATATAGAGTCATTCTGGGTACTAGAGTGAATCCGGAGTGAATCCGGAGTGAATCCGGATACGTGTGGACGGGCGAATTCGATTTGAATACGCTGTGATCACATAACATGTGGACGCGGTTATTTTCGTATCCGGGAAGAAAAAGTTGCGGATTGAAAAATATCCGGATACGTGTGGACGGGGCCTAAGAAAAGTTATGATAAACAGAAAAATGAACATATGGTTCATATCATGAGTGACATTTAACTAAAATTTGTTGTTCATAAATGCATTATTTCTCGTTTGAGTATGATCTCCACGCTTTTATCAACGGTTCCAGATCGTGTTATTTACATGGAAACTTTGCTCTGTTGTCTAATCAGTCAAGAAATCTAAAATACTCAGATATGGGTGCACTGTATTTTCCGAAGAGGTAAATGTGTACTGTCACAGAGTACAATAGACATCTGCTATGTAAATTATTGTCCCTTAGGCAAATAAATACAAAGTCCATCATATCGGTTATATCCTGCGGCTGAGACTTGATTTTAAATGAAGCTTTAGTCCGGAAAGTTTGGTTTCAGAATTTGTATCGACGCTTGAAGCTTATTTCATTCCAAGAAGTTGCTCAGTTTGTTCGTTGCTCTACTGCATGCAATTTGCAGTTTCAAATTTGTTCATCACTTGAATGTCCATTCCTCTCCTTCTTTTCTTCTTATTTGGGAACTCCCTTGTCATTCTAATAATTTACAAGAGCAGGAAACTTGCGAGTGTAAATATGTGCCTTACATCCTAACTTCCTTGGTCCAATCTGTTTTTCTCTCTCTACACCGTTCGTGGAGATAATTCTCCTCGCGTTCAGTAATTTCATATTCCTCTTTCCAATAAATTCTAAATTTTTTGACGTCTAGTTACTTTTTGATTGCTCTGGCAGCAAAGAGGTATTATGCAATTATTAAACCATTCGTGCAGGTGCGTTATGTGTTTACTTTCTCAGTAAAAAGGAGATAAAAAAATTGAGATTTTATGGTTATCTTAAGATAGTTTTAATGAACGGGAAAAAAGAATGCATTGCTGGAGTTCTTATGATGACAGAAATCATTTTGTAGAGGTACACTGTTTCCTTTTATTTTGAGTTTTGAAAGATAACATTTTTGTTTAAATATGATCGCCTCAGTGTCTTTCACCCTTTTGTTGTCTTCTAAGTAAACAAAATCTAAATTAAAAGTTATAACATTTGTGTTATTGGGGAGCAGACAGCTGTTTCATGCTCCTAAGTACAAAGACTTAAAGCATAAATTATAGATAGATAGGAAAATAACAAAAGTATACCTTATTCCATTAGTTATATATTGTGACTATGAAAAATTAGATTTCAGATATAGCTTTACCTCAACGGAGGCACTTCTCGTACTGCTGAGTTTGGTTTTCTTAGGTAAGCTGCTTTGCAATCCAGTATTGCAAAAAGTCTTCAGGTTTCCTTTACTTCATTTCAGATATTTTGCTGCTATTCTGCAATGGAGGGTTTAAATTTGGCTATTTCAGTGCTTTCCACACCTCTTATTATGTTCACCGTTTTGGGGAATTTGTTCGTCATTGTTATTATTTTCAAGTGCTGGAAACTTTTGAATTTTAATACCTGGTTGATAGGCCAGCTGGCCTACGCGGATCTATTTTTTTCCACAACTTCTTTCGTGGAAATATTTCTTATTTCCTACGATGTGCCTTACTCTTCTCACTTCCAGTTTGTCTGGAATGCTTTGGCATCTAGTTTTATTCTAGTTGCGTTAGGATTGGAGAGATACTATGCAGTTCTTAAACCTTTTGTGCACATGAAAAAAGTGGGCAAGTCTTTGATGTGGAAAATTATCGTCGCAATATGGACTTTAGTCATAATCTTAGGTACTGGAGCAGTAATAATCGAATCAAAGATGGTACGGGCCAGAAATGGTTCGAATAATGTTACCATGACAACGGAAGATTCCCCACCCGTTGATATCGAAACTGCTTATATTGCTTACGCATTTTTGTTACTTACAATCGGCCTCATCATACCAAGTACTATTATGGTCTATTGTTACTCGCATGTGATTTATCAAGTGTGTTTCAGTGCTGAGGAGAAGAAAGCAACGAGTACGGCGCTCCTCAAATCGCGTCGTAAGCTGACCAAACTTTTCATCATCCTCACTCTTGTATTTATAGTAACTTGGACTCCAACATTCGGAAGACCAATCGTGAAAAAGTTTGCGAGAAAAGAATTGATAGAAAACTATGAGCTGATTTCTTTATTTCTTGCTCTTGTCGGCTCGACGGCGAATCCCATCATTTATGCTTTTCGTTGCCCAAGATTTCGCCAGGAAGCAATAAAAATTTTATCTTGTTTTTCCTGTGTAAAGAAAGAATTTAGTCCAAGTGGGTCGCGTGGTAACAGGGTGTTTGCAACAAAGGGCCCCTCTATGACTGAAGCACAGAAAAATACAACACAAAAAAGCTTATGATGACTGACACTGATTCATGGTTGGATAAACTTAATCAGTGACAAAGAGATGGGTATATGCAGAGTTACTCTGGTTCAAAGGCCATTAAGGTTCTACCGAA